AATGAGTTATGTTGGGCGTCTGTCTGTAGCAGCCATCCGTCGCGCATCTCTCCTCCGCTGCTCCCTTTCCCGCGCTTTTTTATTTGTGTTTTTAACTAACAAAACACAAGATCTTTTCGTTGAGTGTAAGTGTGTCTGTGACTTGTAGGTTGAAGGATAAGCGTCTGGTAGCGTGTGGATTGAAGGAGACGCGACACTTGGGGGGGGGGTAGTTTGTTGACAAGTGAGGTAGTTAAGTTTCTCTCTCTCTCTCTAGTAACTCGTCTGACCATAGGATGTAATAAGTGCACCAGTATTTTGGCTGCCATTGTCTACTTCCATTGTTACACGCCTTGCCTCACTTCCCTCTTATCTTATCATACCTTCCTTCTTCCCTTCTCCTCCACATTTCCTCCTCCTTCCCCTCCCTTTTTTTCTTCTACATCGCACTCCTTCCCTCCCTCTCTCCCTCTTATCTTCCCACACCTTCCTCCATCACGCTACCTCCCTCCTTCTCGTCTCCTCCATCACACTCCTTCCCTCCCTCCCGTCTCCGCCATCACACTCCCACCCTCCCTCTCATCTTCCCCTTTCTTCTCCCTTCTCGTCTCCACCACACACACAGGGCGTGACGACCTGCCAGTGCACAGGATCACACACTAAACTCCCCTCAGTCCCCCCTGATTATTTAAGCGATCAACACCCTTTCCAGACGTCTATGGATACGGTGTCCGATGCTCACTTGTTCTGTGTACTCCTCGCAGTGTTGTTCGCTTCCCTTTAACGTAAGAACATACGAATGGAGGAAACTGTAGCGGCCCTATTGGCCGCTACAATTTCCTCCATTTGTATGTTCATTCCAGCGTATTAGAGTAAATGATGATGTTTGGTAATTTGTTCCACTCATCCACTATTCTATTTCCAAATCAATGTTTACCTATCTCGCGCCTAAATCTAAATTTGTCTAATTTAAAACATTTTTACGAGTTAGCTCCTGGTTGGATAGTTTGAGTACCTTTGTTATATCACATTTGTTTAGCCCTGACTTCCATTTATACACCTCGATCATATCGCCCCTCACTCTTCGTCTCTTGAGGGAGTGCAAATTAAGATGTTTTAACCTGTCCCTGTACTCAAGGTTTCTAATGCCCGGTGTTAGTCTTGTTATCCTCCTCTGTATGCTTTCTGGGGATTCAATATCCATTCTGTAGTACTGTGACCAGAGCTGAACTGCGTAATTCAAGTGATGTCTCACAAGCGCAAGATATGTTCTTGCGTAAATAAAGAAAACTAGACTAATTAGCGCTTAACTAGAAGTAAATAGGATTTTCTTTGACGAAAATAAAAGACGTTAGGCTAAAGAATTAACGATTTATATTAAACGAGAGAACAGGCAGGGTGTAGAGATGCTTCCAGGACCATAGATGACAGACACACTATGTATACAGTAGATCACCATTGTGTTCAGGGTATATGGATCATGCTAAGGGTTCCTTCTTACACACACACACACACAGAGGTATACTGTATGCATGAACGGTAGGATTGTTCAGTAAGTAGTGATACAAGTTCCATACCTGGAGATTCATTATTAATGTTAAGAGAATAAGAGAGAAAAGACAAGTTCAAAACACGTCCTCTCCTACATCAGCGAGTTACCTTATTGTTTCAGCCAATCACCTTTATTTTAGATAGTTTTCATAAACAATAGTATTGCCTAAACATCATCGATCTCAAAATCAAATAAAGAACTCAAGTTTGTTTGGCGGTTCAGTAACTTGGCGACAAACACACCAAATGACCCAACGAGCACATCAAGGTCGCCCTGTGTCGCGTGCAACAGTTTGTGGCTGATGCAAAAAATTACCTGCAGTCATGATAGATTTAATGATGAGTCAAGAGGCAGCATCGCTGACACCATAGACACGACCGATGAGAGGCCAAGCTGACGTAACTCTCCGTGAAGGTCGTCCCCTGACAGCCAGAGACATTACTGAACCTTGCGGGACCTGAGTGGAAACAGCTCACACTATTATTTATGACGAATTGGTTTACGGAAGGGGAGCAGCTCGTTGGGGACCTCGGGTGTTATCAGGCGAACAAAAAATAAATCGCGTGCACATTTGTCAGCAATAAAAGTATCAATTTGTCGTCAACTGGACTTTCTGGATCGTGTATCACCTCCGCCAACACCTAGATATAACATGTCAAGGCTCACACGGGGAGGCCACCGCCCAGAGAAGCGTATTGGCGCCATTAATGATCACTTTGTACCCAGACTGTACACCAGAGGACAGACTGTTTCAAAAATTCCTGTTCCCATGTTGTAAAATACCGCTGCGAGTCGAACTCTTAGAGCAGCTTTATATGTATTTCCTATAACTAGAAATTGTTTTTGTCGCCATTTGAGTGATGAGTGGACCAGAAACACGACACAGAGGAAGGTTGTCTTAAGTGTTTTGGCTGCCACTAGTGTGTTGAGTTAGAGACATTATCGTATCTTGAGTTCAGGGAAAATTAACTTGGGAAACTTTGAGCCTGAGGACGCTGCTTGTGTGTGTGTCTCCTGTACCAGTGGCGGTGAGAAGGCTTACCTCAGTCTACCTTCCTCTGTGGCACACCTCTCCCTCCCCCATACCAGCACCCTTATCCCTCCTCCTTATCTACGCCTTCCCTTCTCTTCCCCATTACGAACACCCTCCCCCCTCCCTTTCCTCTGCAACCTTCCTTCTCATCATCTTATCCACACCCTCCCCCTCACTCTAGCACCCTCCTCTTACCCCCTCCCCTCCTTCCAGCAGCCCCGTCTCTCCAGAACCCTCCCCTCCCCATCCAGAGAGAGAGAGAGCAGGTGGTGGCAGAGAGCAGAGAGAGCAGGAGAGAGAGTAGAGCAGAGAGAGAGAGCTCACCCAGATCACCTCCACCTGTGTGAGGCTTGTTTGCAGCCCCTGCCTCCCTGCCCTACAACCCCACCCATGAAGTTTGGAAATGTAAATCCCCTCTCTCTCTCTCTCTCTCTCTCTCTCTCTCAGTTCGAGATGAGAAGATTACACCTCCATAAAGGGAATTTTCTTGGAATTTCTTAAGACAATGTGTTAAGGAGGTTGATGTGGGAGGGTAGAGGAGGAGGAGGTTGATGTGGGGGGTAGAGGAGGAGTGAGGTTGATGGGGGGAGGAGGAGGAGGTTGATGTGGGGGTAGAGGAGGAGGAGGTTGATGTGGGGGTAGAGGAGAGGAGGTTGGTGTGGGGAGGGTAGAGGAGGAGGAGGTTACGGGAGGTGGGGTAGTGGAGGAGGAGGGAGGAGGTTGGTGTGGGAAGGTAGAGGAGGAGGAGGTTGGGAGGGTAGAGAGGAGGAGGTTGGATGTGGGAGAGGGTCGAGGAGGAGGAGGTTGATGTGGGGGTAGAGGAGGAGTAGTTTGATGTGAAGGTAGAGGAGGAGGGAGGAGGGAGGTGATGTGGGGGTGAGTGAGAGGAGTTTAATGTGGGAAGGTAGAGGAGGAGGAGGAGTGTGATGTGGGAAGGTTGGGTGTGATAGTAGTGGCGTAAGTGGAGGTTGCTATGGAGTAAATTTAGTGGAGTAACATATTTTTATGGCTCGGCTCACAGGTTCATCTGGGGCAGTAATGGTTCCGTGCGCCTTTATTACTGCCAGTGTTGGAGATGAAATGTTAATAGTGCCAATTTTTACAGCTTTTGCAACTTTTATGTTATGAGTGTTATGATGTTATGTTATGGTGTGTGTTATGGTGTGTGTTATGATGGTGTTATGGTGTGTGTGTGTGTGTGTGTGTGTGTGTGTGTGTGTGTGTGTGTGTGTGTGTGTGTGTGTGTGTGTGTGTATAAAAGATCCTTTGTGCAACTCTAACTAATATCTGTGCCATTATAGTAGTGACGAATGTACCAATAATTACTGTAACTAGCCACTGTAATACGATCCAATGGCACATTAACCACTGTACCACTATACCATTATCCATTGTACCATTATCCATTGTACCATTAACCACTATACCATTAACCACTACCATTATCCACTGTACCATTAACCACTGTACCATTAACCATTGTACCATTAATCATTGTACCGTTAACCACTGTACCATTAACCATTGTACCATTAACCACTGTACCATTAACCATTGTACCATTAACCTCTATACCATTAACCACTACCATTATCCCCTGTACCATTAACCACTGTACCATTAACCATTGTACCATTAACTATTGTACCGTTCACCAATGTACCATTAACCATTGTACCATTAACTATTGTACCATTAACCACTGTACCATTAACCATTGTACCATTAACCACTATACCATTAACCACTATCATTATCCACTGTACCATTAACCACTGTACCATTAACCATTGTACCATTAACCATTGTACCGTTAACCACTGTACCATTAACCACTATACCATTAACCACTACCATTATCCACTGTACCATTAACCATTGTACCATTAACCATTGTACCGTTAACCACTGTACCGTTAACCACTGCACCATTAACCATTGTACCATTAACCACTACCCATTAACCACTGTACCATTAACCATTGTACCATTAATCATTGTACCGTTAACCACTGTACCATTAACCATTGTACCATTAACCACTATACCATTAACCACTACCATTATCCACTGTACCATTATCCACTGTACCATTAACCATTGTACCGTTAACCATTGTACCGTTAACCACTGTACCATTAACCATTGTACCATTAACCACTATATCATTAACCACTACCATTATCCACTGTACCATTAACCATTGTACCATTAACCATTGTACCGTTAAACACTGTACCATTAACCATTGTACCATTAACCACTATACCATTAACCACTACCATTAACCACTGTGCCATTAACCATTGTACCGTTAACCACTGTACCATTAACCATTGTGCCATTAACCATTGTACCATTAACCATTGTACCGTTAACCACTGTACCATTAACCATTGTACCATTAACCACTGTACCACTAACCATTGTTGTTGTCTCCTGCAGGTGTGACGTCGTACAAGGTGGTGGCGCCCGCCCACTACACCGCCCTCCGAGGACCCCTTACTGTTGTGGTCTACCTCGTCCCCACACCCCCACCGTGAGTACACCCACCACACACCCACCCGTGACTTCCCCACCACACCTCTACCCGTGACTTCCCCACCACGCCCCCACCCTTGACTTCCCCACCACGCCCCCACCCGTGACTTCCCCACCACGCCCCACCCGTGACTTCCCACCACGCCCCCAGCAATTCCGTGCTCCCCACCACGCCCCCCACCCGTGACTTCCACCACGCCCCCACCCGTGACTTCCCCCACCACGCCCCCACCCGTGACTTCCACCACGCCCCCACCCGTGACTTCCACCACGCCCCCACCCGTGACTTCCCCCACCACGCCCCCACCCGTGACTCCCACCACGCCCCCCACCCGTGACTTCCCCACCACGCCCCCACCCGTGACTTCCCCCACCACGCCCCCCAAGTGTTCCGTGGATCTTCCCCACCACGCCCCCAGCAATTCCGTGATCTCCCTACTCCGCCCCCAATTTGTGACTTCCCTGTACCCCTGCCCCCACCCGTGACTTCCACCACGCCCCCACCCAAAGACTTTCCACCACGCCTCACCCGTGACTTTCCCACCACGCCCCCCACCCGTGACTCCCCAACTGCCCTGCACCCCGTGACTCCCCAACCCGCCCCCACCCGTGACCCCCACCCCGCTCCCCCACCTCGTGATCTCCCCTACCACAAGTCCCCACCCGTGACTTCCACCACGCCCCACCCGTGACTTCCCCCACCACGCCCCCACCCTGCAGACTTCCCCCACTCCACGACCCCACCTGTGATCTCCCCCACCACATCCCCACCTGTGAAAGTACTCCCACACCCCCACTATGAGTACCCCCACACCCCCTACTATGAGTGCCCCCACCTTCTCCAACTGTAATAATCTCTACCGCATTTAGACAAGATATAAATTATGTTCAAATAACATGTATGTGCGACTTAGACGAAATGTATCGACACACAATAATATCATTATCACACACGCATTAATAATATCATCAATAATATCATCAATAATAATAATAATACACACGCACGCGGTTTGTATCAAGGTAATATTACGCCAACATAAACTCTCTCTCTCTCTCTCTCTCTCTCTCTCTCTCGCTGGGTATTCGAATACATTTTTAAAGGAATTTAAAAATTATAGACTGGAGCCTAGAATGTAACATATGTGAAGTGATAACTATAATAGAAAAAATTATGTCAATACTGCGCTACTCAGCCATTATCGTCTCGTTACTATCGACCGGGGAACTCTGTCTTGTAATAACTTGTACGTAAATCAGCTTGGGTGGGCGATTTTTCTCTGTTTAAATTACAAGTTTCTCGTGACTGGATTTCTATTCATATTATGGATTACTCATTTGCAGGAAAAAAAAACCATTGTTGTAATTGTTATTATTAGTAGTGTGATTTGTGAACTCATGTCAAGGTTTTGTGGGGTGAGGTTAGTTCAGGTTGTGGCTAGGCTCGTATACGCCGCCCAAACCATCTATCTCCCAGGACACTCCCAGGGGTATGGCGGCAGAGATATCTATCCAGGAATTTATACTACCAAATATGTCCTGGATTATTATTATTATTATTATTTTTAATTGTATACTCAATTTGAGGGGTCGGGGAGTTTTCAGTCCTGTATTGTTCAATTGAAAGGTACAGTACATCCAATATTTTTACAAGATGCGTAATGTAAATTGTAAGGTCCGGTTTTACTTCTGAGTTTTACCTTTATTTTACATCTTACGTCTTAGTAGTATGAATTTAGCTTTGTACTATTTGGTGTAATGTTAAAGTGATAGTCTGGTAACAGAGGTCTTTACTTAGTATGAAAACAAATTTTGTTTGGTTCTCAGTTTTCAGTTTTCGTTGTGAATGTATTGGTGCCGCCTCAGTCTGTTTCCTCAACCTGATTTGAGAAGCTTTATTTTATATTCTGGGAATCCTATAATGCTGGTTTTAGTTAATATAGTACGGTAATTAAAACACATTGTACTCTAAACCCTCTCCCCCCCCCTTCCACACCCCCCCTTCCACATCCCCCTTCCACACTCCCTCCCTTCCACACACTCCCCCGTGCCCTCGGTCACTTTACTATGGCACGGTTAAGTATATTCATCATGAGGACTACCGTGTTCTATCAAATATTTGCCTTACAACCATACGAGTGTTTGTGTCTCACCCCCTGTGTGTGGTGTCTTACAGGACGGAGGTGCCGCTCTATACCTGGGACTTTGAGAACAACAAATCTGCCCTCCCGCTGAACACCTCATTCTCCGACCCCGAGGAGGACGACACCGACGATTACAACTTTAACAACAACTACTCTGCTGAGCCCTCCCAACCTCGGCGCCTCTACAACGATGGGGGAGGAGGAGGACGAGGAGGAGGACGAGGAGGAGGAAGAGGAGGAGGAGGAGGAGGAGGAGGAGGACCCCCACCAGACACGCCTACAGAACCTTTGATGCTGTCGTTGTTCGCGAAGGGGAGTGTCCGAGCCATCAAAACTTACCTGGTGAAGGAAGACCTGGACAAGAGGACCATGTTCTTCACCTGCGGGATGGTGGTACAGGGCGGCATTCACTTCTTAAGGTAGGTGCTCCTCCCTCCCGCACCTTCTGGTTAATTACTATACTGGGTGTGGTTAATATACTGGGTTAATAAACGTAGTTAACATACTGCTGGACATTGTTTGGGGGTGTTTAACCTCGTGTACGTAGTTAATTTAGTGTATATAGTTAACTTAGTATATGTGGTTGACCCAGTGTACGTGGTTAACCAAGTGTATGTTGTTAACCTAATGTACGTGGCTAACCTGGTGTACGTGGTTAACCTGGTGTTCGTGGATAACTTGGTGTACGTGGTTGCAGGTTGGAGCGGGGGTCACAGGTGGTGGCCGAGAGTGGGGCGGTGGAGGTGTCGTGGCCCGCCATGGTGATCACTGTTCCTCGCCGCGTGGAGACCTACAGTACCCCTATCAGTGTTAATATCAGGTGTGTGTGTGTGTGTGTTGGAGATGTTGCTCACACATCTGTAACATAACCAGTAGTTGTTCCTCTTCACCATGGTAACCTTCTCCCCAGTACTGTTTACTTTGCCAGACTGATACAATACTTTACATTTATTGCTTTGTTTAGGTAAGTCATTATTGTATAGTGTGGGAAGTGGTACATTATTTATGTATTTACTTTTATTAAATAATTGTTTTACTGTGGTGGTGTTGTTCAGTGTGTCTGTAGTGTTTATTAACGGTGGTGTGTGTTGCTGCAGGTTCACGCAGTCTAATTGTCGGGCCATTAGCTCCATCACCTTCACCACGTGGGTGGACCTCCTCTACCACGGTGTACCGGTGACCGAGGCCGACGCCGAGGACAACTTCACCGCCACACTCACCACCACTACCATCACGCCCTCGTTCAGGCAGCGTGACAAGAGACCCTGGTCTTTCCTTCAACACAAACTGGAAAATTCTCTACGGCGACGCCGAAGCAGGAGGAACAAAGAGCTTGCCATACGCAAAAAGATAAAAAGGAAAAACAGACGAGCAAAGAGAAAGATGAGGAGAAGACGGGGGAAAAAAGACGCTTATCAGAGGTACTGGGATTGGATAGGGAGGCACCGTCGGGCGCTAGTGGAGGGGGAGGAGGAGGCGGAGCTTCCTGCCCGGATGTTTGTGAGGTCCTCAGGGGCGCGGGTGATGCAGGTGAGGAGTAAGCCCCTGGTGACGTTCTACGAACTTGCGTACCACACTGTGCAGTTCCCCTGCAACACGGTGGGCCCCGCTGGACTCTACAGCATCAGGATCAACACCAACGTTCCCACCAGGCCCGTGGTGGCCTCTTCCGCGTTGTTCCCGGTGAGTGTAGTGTAGTGTCCTGTCGTGTGTGTGTGTGTGTCGCTGTTCACATCTCTCCCTTGAGCTGCACGGTGACAGGTGCTGTATATCACTCTCTATCCTCTACACCACAAAAAAGGTCTCAGGAGACTCGTCACTCTAGTGGCTGAAACCATCAAACACCAAAATTAATTTGTGATAAACATTTAACAAGACATTAAAAAAGTGTGTACTTAAGTGACAATAGAGAAAATTAAGTATAACACACATGAATGAACATACTTTTTGGAGTATAAAGAATATTCACGTGTCTGTTAAATGCCTTTTCGTCCTAATTTTACACAAGAATCATCAGTTTACTTTTCTTTATACAAACCTTGAAATAATTAATTTCCTGTTATCTGCATTAAACTTGTCTGTAAGTTGAAAATGTCTTTATATTTCTCACACACACGAGACAACGTTGGTGAGTCATGACACACACAGACACTTGTATAGGTCGTGGTGATGCTTGTTCAGGGGCGATTTTTCTTCAACATGGTGACTCTGGTTGTTAGTAGAGGTCAAAGGTCAGGAGGTGGTGGTTTGACATCGACTGTAGAATTAATTTTACTGAGAAATCATAATGTTCTTCTCTTCCAGTTCTTACTTGGGAGACTGACTGTGACTGGTGGAAACACTGGGTTGTGACTTATAAATTGAAATTAGACCCATTACAATGTATCACTCGTTGGTGTTTTGTACTGCAGGTGGTGTGGAGCGATTTGTTTACACTACACGTGCAGGCCTCCAACCTCAATCCATGTATTGGGTCCATCGGCGTGCAGGTGACGTATCCCTCGTGCATCGGCGACACCGACAAGGTGAGGCTGTACGCCAGGATCAGGGCCAACGTCACCTCCGCCAGCCCGCCCATTTACGAGAAGTGAGTACAGCATCTCTCTCTCTCTCTCTCTGTCTCACTTTAAGTAGTTTTCAATTTTTTAGGGAGGATAGCCCACCCGGGCACAGGTCGTCGACCCACAACTGGGTCGGGTGTGCCTTTTTTATATTAATTATAAAACATTCGTAGTCATCATGATGCAATTTACAAAATGTTTATTTACCTTAAGGCAAAAGTTTCTCGTTATTCTTAACAATCTTCATGTCTTGAGGCTCGTGTTTCGCAAACGTCACGAGTGAAATAAGTCGAGTGCTGTGTCGGTCACACTGCCTCCTGGTGTAGGCCACTGTCCATGGGACCCACTTTTTCACGTGAAAGATGGCAGCCAACAGGGTCCTGGTGGTTTAACCCGTAAGCATCACTGTCTTTTTTCTCGTAACTGTGGATGAGAGTATCTAGTTATGGTGGCGGCCTACTACACCGTCAGCAACATTCCGCCATACTTGTGTCGTAGATGAGTGCTCGTGTCATTACTTGGAGGGAAAACTACACCTGTGTTCCTCCCCCACCAGATACTTGGCGGAGTACCGGGTCAGGAAGCCAATGACGACGGCGGAGTTCTCGTGTGACCTCTTCAAGCAGGAGGCAACTGACTACTGCTTCGTATACGTCAACACGGCCGAGAAGAAGGTGGTGTCAGAGGTCAGGAGGAAGTGTGTGCCCTTCTACAAGCCCAAAGGTGAGTGTACAGGTAGTGTAGTTGCAGCATTGTGTAACGTGGTGTGTCGGGTGTGTGTGCCGTATTATGAAACCAACGTTAATGTTGACTTTTGGACGTATTTCCAGTGCAGTGCTTGATTATATTTAGTATATTAATGTTAGTAAGGAACAAGATAATTTCCAAGTCATATCAGAGCTAGCGTAGTATTGCAGATATTAATACCGGGAACACGTCACGCCACACCACGCCACACCACACCACACCACACAGGGAAGAGTTACACCGACGTCTTCAAGTACGCAAACGTTGCATCTTGCTCTACTCTATTATCACCCATAAAAAATATGTATATATGTTTCGTAATAATGTGCTAAAATGTGTAGTATGTTAAGCGTTGATATAAAATGGCATCTTTGGATTCATCTAAATCTAAATACTATGGTAGTATATTTTTTTTTAAAGATTATAAAAGGTCGATAATTTGAGCTCTTATCTGTGTTACGCTGATTTATTTATTTGGTTATTACACCTTAAATAAGAAAACAGAAAATATAATCTGCATCCCGCCCAGTTTTAGCCAGTGTACTTGATGAGAGAATACTGAACAAGGACTGGGCAGACTCAGAAAAATTATCAGCACTTGAAAAAATTATCCTAAAGTAAAAAATCCAGGCGAAGTACTGTTAGACTCCAGCCTCATCAGGGTATTGTTACAGGTACCAGACGGTGTAAATACATTGTTGTTTATTTGCTTGTATATAAATTTTAAGATTTTTATTCAACCTAAACATAACCTAACCCAACCCAACCCGTAACAAAATGCCCCCTAATATTAAAAACTCCATATAGCTCAGGGCCTATAAATTGTACCTTCAACCCGTGGCTCAGGCTTCGTAACGTCCACGGTAATGTTTACAAAGTGTCGTATAGATGCCAGTGTAATTTCAGGCTGGAAAGAGACACTAATTAAAAAAGTTTCCATAACAAAGCCAGTATTTTATTCCAACTTTAATAGGAAGCATCGTTTTATTTATATCACTTAAGTCTCCAGAGTCATTAAGTGTTAAAAAAATAGAAGACAAAATTACCTGCGTCTGACGTGAACAAAGTATAATGTATTTGTTCGGGTGTTTTGTTAATCAATTTTATTTTTAGTATATTCCGTCGCTATGGATTTATTTATTTATTTATTTATTTATTTTAGAGAGAGAGAGAGAACGTACTGTACTGTACCATTAAGGACGAGCCAAAGTTGAAAGATAATGACGTTACACAGGAGGAGGGAGTGAGTACTGAGGGGTTGGCTGGGCTGGGTCTCGGAGGGGGAGGGAGGGTGCAGGGGTGAGAGGGGAAGAAGTACTGATAGAAAAAAAAGGGATTTATCAAAGTCTACCCCTCCTGCCCCTCTCTCCGTCCTTTGAAGCGATCACCAGCGGTATGGAAAACGGTAATAGCATCAGCGAGTCCCCCTCATTGGGTCTACGGGATTATATAACACTATGGCCTCTGTGCCCATATATTTCTTACGACAAATCATTACAGTATTAGCTACGATAAGTCAACTCTGTACCCGCCTTTACTGACTTGATAGATTCTGTTCTTCTCAGGTGAGGGAAGTTCCGCCTAGTGTGATTTGTGACTTTTGAACTCGGTGAATTTAAGGCACAGATTGGGACGTACCCAGTGTCGGTTGAAGACAAATCGATGACTGAAGTTGTGTTTTAGTTTTTTTCAGTCCAAGTTGATTAGCTTCTGCTCCCTGGGGTAGTTGGTTCCAATAACGTGGGGTGTATTTTGAATTGAGGTTGTTTCTTGTGATTCTTTTAAACAGATATTACTTATAAACTTAACCTAACCTAACGATCTTAGAATATCTTATGGTTAGGTTAGATTGGTGCTGTATGTTAGGTTAGATAGATAGTTAGTGTGGGTAGGTGAGGTAGATACTGTAGATTAGGTTAGGTTGGCTGGGGCAGACTGCCATCATAAGAGGTGTAGGCCAAATACCAATAATGATATTTTTTAATATATACTTACATACCTCGTTATTCAACGTACAGTATATATATATATATATATATATATATATATATATATATATATATATATATATATATATATATATATATATATATATATATATATATATATAATTTTTTATATATATATATATATATATATATATATATATATATATATATATATATATATATATATATATATATATATATATATATATATATTGATAAAATCACACGGAAAAGGGAAACAATGGAGCACCTTAGCTTTCGTCTTTATTCAAGACATCTTCAGAGACAACTCTGAAGGAAACATAAAACAATAAAAGGAAACATTTAGATGAATAACTACGAACCTGTATATATTTTTTTAAGAACTTGTGCCTTACGACTTTGTTATAAACGATCTCTTAGATAATTGAAAAAAAAATCGACTCGAAGCAGAAATTAATTGAATTGGAAAATTAAAACGATTTCTTCAGCCGCCACGTCCGAATTTGGCGACAAAAGATAAAAGATTTATTCGAGGGTGACAAATTTATCCTAGTTGCATATCTTATGTCACCTATTACTGGTCACCTTCATGGAGTTGAAGTATTGTACTCAAGGGATTAAATTATTGCACTTAAGATAATTATTAAATTGTACTCAAGGGGTTAAATTATCATAATCAAGGGGTTATAATATCGTACTCAATGGATTAAATTATCATAATCAAGGGTTAAATTATCGTACTCAAGGGGTTAAATTATCATAATCAAGGGGTTATAATATCGTACTCAATGGATTAAATTATCGTACTTGAAGGGGTTAAATTATCATACTCTAGGTGTTATATTATCGTACTGGTAAAATGATTGCACTCAAGGGGTTAAATTGTCGTCCTTAAGGGGTTATATTATTGTACTCAAGGTGTTAAATTATCATACTCAAGGGGTTATATTATCGTACTCAAGGGGAGGAAGGAGGGAGGAGGTAGGGAAGGAAGGAAGGAAGGAAGGGGAGGTAAGAAGGGAAGGAAGGAAGGAAGGAAGGGGAGGTAGAGAGGAAAGGGAGGTAGGAAAGGAAGGAGAGAGAGGGTGAGGGACCAGTGGATCTTCACGTCGGAAATATCTTTGATCTTTATGAGCCTTGAGGAGTTGGTGAGGAAGGAAGAAGAGGGGAAGGAGGGAAGGATGAAGAGGGAAGTGAGGGACGGAAGAAGAGGGGGTGAGGGAAGGATGAAGAGGGGAATGAGGGACGGAAGAAGAGGGGAAGTGAGGGAAGGAAGAAAAGTAAGAAGAGGGGAAGTGAGGGAAGGATGAAGAGAAGAGAAGAGGGGAAGTGAGGAAGGATGAGAAGGAGAAGAGGGAGGTGAGGAAGGATGAAGAGAAGAGGAAGTGAGGGAAGGATGAAGAGAAGAGGGGAAGTGAGGAAAGAATGAAGAGAAGTGAGAGAGGGGACGAGAAGAAGAGGGAAGGAAGAGGGAAGTGGAGAAGAAGAAGGGAAGGAGGGAAGGATGAAGAGGAGAGAGGGAGTGAGGAAGGATGAAAGTAGAAGAGGGAAGGGGAGATGAGAGAAGAGAAGGGAGGGGAAGGATGAAGAGGTAGGGAAGAAGGAGAGGGAGAAGAAGGAGGTGAGGGAAGGATGAAGAGAAGAGGGAAGTGAGGGAAGGATGAAGAGAGGGAAGTGAGAAAGAAGAAGAGAGTGAGAAGGGGAGAGAAGAGGGGAGGGGAAGGGGAAGTGTGAGAAAGAAGAAGAGGGGAAGTGAGGGAAGGATGAAGAGAAGTGAGAAAGAGGGAAGTGAGGAAGGAGGAAGAGGGAAGTGTGATAAAGAACAAGAGGGAAGTGAGGGAAGGATGAAGAGAAGTGAGAAGAGGGGAAGTGAGGGAAGGATGAAGAGAAGTGAGAAGAGGAGAAGTGGGACGGAAGAAAAGGGAAGTGAGGGAAGGAAGAAGAGGGGAAGTGGGAGCAAACTACCAGAGCAATGAGGCTGTCTGGTAGTAACACACACACACACACACACACACACACACACACACACACACACACACACACACACAGAGTTTCCAAAAAGCTGATCTTCACGACAGAACTTGGTGAGTGAGGCTCAGGTTAAAGCTTAATTAATGCCCCTGTACTTGTCTCGCCTCACGCTGCCTCTTTTATACTGGGAGGAGAGGTTATGGTGTGGTGGTGATGGTGGTGGTGTGTGTGGTGTTGGTGGTGGTGATGGGTATGGTGGTGTGGGTGATGGTGGTGATGGGGTGGTGGTGATGGTGGTGGTGTGGTGGTGGGTGATGGTGGTGATGATGGTGATGTGTGATGGGTGGGATGGTGTGATGGTGGTGGTGGTGGTGAGTGGTGATGGTGGTGGTGATGGTGGTGGTGGTGGTGGTGATGGTGGTGGTGATGGTGGTGATGGTGGTGGTGGTGGTGATGTGGTGATGGTGGTGGTGATGGTGGTGTTGGTGATGGTGTGGGTGGTGATGGTGGTGATGGTGATGGTGGTGGTGGTGGACTCCTGTCTTACTGGTAGGTGAGGCTGACCCGTCATTGTTGTCGTGTTAAGTCTCTCGTCTGGTTCTTATCTCTCCTCCTCCTCCGTGTTCACTCTTTATCATTATTACACTTCGTCTGGACCCTTACTACATCTTCTTCCCCTCTCCACAACGCCCCCACTCCAGCAGTCGTTCCGATGCGTCTCGCCACTAATTTGTCGTTTAATTTCCAGGCAGGTTTAATGTCCCTTGTAATGGGGGATGTCGTACGCGGCCTGACGGGGGGCGGCGGCAACATCGGCCTAACACCGCTGTCAGATGTAGCGCCGCGGCCTTCCATCCTTAACTCGCTCTGTAATAGAGACTGAAATACATATAGCGTGGTGTGGGTCGTGTAGGTCGTTGTTGTGGCTGGCGGGTGCTTGAGAAGGTGGCCAAGCGGAGCAATTAGAAGTTCTAACAATGATTAGTAGTGGAGGAGAGACTCGGGCCGCCATGTTGGTTCACCGCCAACAGAAGA